TGGTGTTCATTAAAGCGGTCCTATGGAAAACCCACTGTAAACGCATGCGCGAAAGCATTCACACACACACACACACACACACACACACACACACACACACACACAGAGAGAGAGAGAGAGATCTGTGCATGCGTGAAATGCAGATTTGCCGAATGGGACAGATTGCAGTGGAAACTAGTAGATAAGGCCTTATTCAGTAGTCACTGTACTTAGAAAAGGGTATAACAACTTGGTGCCTTCGTGATTCAGCGAGTGATTAACGATTTAACTATAGCCATTGTATAGAAGATACCATGTTGATATTTATTATAAATAATAAATAAATACGTTTATTTCCCTTCTTTGTTCATTGAACGAATGAACTTTCAGGAACGGGGTAGCGGCCGGACAAAGGCTGCCTGCTGAATGCAGAAAATGGGGCAATGAATGTCGGTGCTGGGTTTCGAAGTCAGAGTCACCGGGTTTACATTTAGACAGCCTTACTACTCTGATAACCTAGGAGATACATGGGAGTCGGTGAGGATCGGATCAAATCAACCGTTCACTTTAACCACGCGCAGAATAACTATTATCGATTGAAGTTTGTTGTGGACAGAGTAACAGGAGCGTGAACTGAAAAGCTGGAAAGCACCCCACAGCTGTTCCAGCCTGAATGTATCTCATCCCTTTAGGATCGAACATTGGAAGTCCCAGACGGAACGCAAAGTTCCCTAACCACTTGACCACCGGGCAGCCGATCAAATCGGTTTTCATTTTTCCTGATTGCACAACCCATAGCGGATATCACAACTCACTAATCTCAGTACTTGCCTCTAGGGATATGACTCAGTTGGAAACATGAAAGCAGAAGATTGAAAATCTCCTCTAAAACGATCGAACGTTTACACTGCCATACATGACCTCCCGGTTTGTCTTCTGGGGTTCAGACCAGCATTGCTGCTGTTGGTATAAGCTTCCGAAAATGATACTGTGCATACGAGTTCGATTGTTTTCCCCCAGGCCTGTGCAATCTAGTCACAATCTGGTGAGATCAATATTCGGCTCATGCCCAATATATAAAGTCATACCAATGTCTTTTTAAGGAAATAAATGCAGCTCAGTCGAATGTATGAAGTCTATCCCTAAATGATGCTGGTGGTCTTCGTCGTATTATCAAAATTACTATCGAACCCTCTCTCTAATAACGATTTTCATTACCCTTGTTTGGAGTGTCCAATACTCCCCCAATGAATTTACATTTCACAATTATTCATTGACTAAGGATACGATTTTAAAAGTAGTTCAATATTCAATATATACAATGGCTTAGCTACATGTTATACATGTTTTCATGTGTGGCGTTTGCCGTAGCAATGGTCCGCTATAAGATAGCCAAGGTGGTAAAAATAATTTACACTTAGCTTGCGGTTACGCAAATCAAATCATAAACTGTGGTGCTGATACATTTTCTCAGTCTCCATTCTCCCCATTTACCTCCATTCGCTCTCCTCCTTATTCTTCTCACTCAAACGCACACGGATACTGATTTCGATCAGTTTTATTGGCCTCTCTCAGTAGTCATTACTCCATCCACTCACTGTACTTGTACTTGTACTGTTGCTTATTCATTCCCACATGCGTATAAAATTGCAGGATGACGCAATCGATCCGGAAACTGTAGAAACGTTTGCCGGACAGTGGGAATCGGACACACGACACGGTTATGGTGTGTGTGAACGATCGGATGGTGTGACCTATGAGGGACAGTGGTTGAAAAATCAACGCCATGGATTCGGTCAAACGCGATTTCAAGATGGCACGTGTGAACAAGGCCGATATCAGTACGGAAAGCTGGTATTCCTGTCGTGGTCCAAAGGAACTAAACCGCACTTACTACTGTACAATTATCATATCATGCGTGAGGTGGCCGCCTCGGTGAAACGCGCTCGTGTAATCGCGGAACAGGCCCGAATGCGTGCCGCGGAGGCACGGGAAAAGTAAGTTGTATGTGACGCTCCTGTCTTTCTATCCAGCACGAATACGTGTTACTGAGTGTGTTTTGACGAGATGCATCGATCCGTGACTTGGGTGCATAGCATCGTGACTGTGAGACGTCAGTTGTAGTACTTTCATCCTAAACTTGGCTGTACACGGACTTGATGCTAATCAGAGTTTCGTGTTTTAATATTACTATATGAAAGCAAATCAGTGCAAAATGTAGATTTTTCTATCTAAAGTATCGTTTTAGTTAGATTGAGCATTGAGGAATGTCAACAAATCCGCGTGTTTATTATTCCATGCCCAAAAGGCAAACAGTCAACCTAACACTCTGAAACATTTTTTCATTTTTATTTTACTTCCTTTTATTGAGTAAACAAAGATACCACTTTTCAGGAAGGGTGAAGCAGCCAATGAAAAGGTTATCACACAACACACATAATGGGGACGATGGTCGGACGGTGGAATTCACACGTTAGCACCGGGCCGCCACCGCCCGAACAAGCTTGCATGACGACCCAAACTATGTAAATGAATCGTTGCATGCACAGACTCATTAAAAAGTATATGCAATCCTTATTTTTGTGTTCATAAATACATCCTGTTTATTGTGTTCGTGATTATTTCATTGTGTTTTGTTAAGACAACCAGGATTTAGATTAAGTTGGGGCGCCCAACACCTAAGCGGTACCGATTCGGTACCCCCGTGGTGGGGTTTGGGGCACTCGGGAAACGACTCAGATTCAAAGCAGGCATGAACCAAATGCATTTAGTCGAATTCTTTACTGAATTTGTCGTTGACCTAAACTAATCCACCTTTATCTTGTTCATTTCCATCTTTATACTGCAAAACAACTGCGCCAATATCACACGCGCATACTCACACGGCTGCACACCAAATGCAGTTTGGAAAACGTGCATGCCGCGGTGGAGCGATCAAAGCAGGCGGCCGAACTGGCTCGAGACTATTCGCTTGAGACCCGCGAATTGGTAAAAGAGATGTACCCGGATTTCGAACAACCTGGTAGGTTTCTTCGCGTTGAGAACCGCGATTCATCAAGCATGATACTTGTCGTTGTACCGGCCACTTGACGGCAAAACCGCGAAACCGATCATGTGCTTCCAGTGAGATTTTGGTCCATGATTCAGATCATAATTGTTTTAATACGCATATACAAGTATATGCATTGTAGAAAAACAATAAATCTTACAAAAATGACCATCCTTTATCAGCTGATCAGTAAGGGTTTTGTTTGAGCCGCTGTTTGGTAATACCGTGTTCAGTACGATGCACAGTTTTGCTGCGCAAATCACGAAACGAACTGGTCATTTACTTTAGAACTCCAAATTGCAGACGGAAGGTCTGCTTGCACAGAGAGCATTAGCTATCCAAGTTAAGAAAACCGATTGCATGGTAAACATGATGCAAAAGGGAGGCATGGAAAATGAAGTATCTGAACACTCGAATGGCACAAGCACAAATTCCCTATATTCATCGCGATTGAGCATCACACAGAAATCTCTTAAGAAGTAGAGCTATGGTATTAGGGAGAGTAAAATGGCTGAGGTTTTTGTCAAGGCTGTGTAAAGCAGTTGCCAGATTCTTGCTCTAATTTTAATGATCTTCATCCTCATGATCTCAGAAGTTATTATTTTTAGCTAGAGTAAAACAACTCGAGTTAAATTCTTCAGACCAGATCAATTGGCCCATTGCGACTAACCAACAATAAAAAACAAAGATAAGCAAGTGATGGTTAATTGGCGCGACTACAGTATTGATTTCTGAGTGCGTCCGTCAGCTTACTTCTTTGCAGATGATAGGACTCAGATTGATCGTTGTTCAGACACGGACAGCCGATGTGAAGTTATCGAGCATTCATGAAAGAATGAAGCTCAGTGATGGTTCAATCGATCACAAGCACGTGACGGAAACCCGATAATCCATTTCAATAGGCTTCATTGATATGAATTCAAGAGTAAAAGCAAAGCTTCAAGAAAATTAATTGACTTTGGGCTATGCAGGTAACGCATTTCTCATTAAAACCTGGTCATTATGGCTTATAATGCAAGTATTTCACCGACCACTCATAGCGTACTTTCAACTAACCGATAAACAACGTTTTTGAGGCATAACGCTCTAACCTCTGTTCAGGATAGGTAGTACTCCACTTTCGTGATAAGTAAACACTATCACATATTCCTTTGCTTTCAGTCTCCGAAAATGCGTACAGCCATGGCAACATTTCTATCTGTTTTTCCGTTCTGAATTCAAAATCAAAAAACCGCCGGTCACCTTGTGGTGAACCGAGATCCAATGTCTTTGTGATCGATAATGTATGCCCCCTCAGAATGCGACACTTTTCTCAAGCATGGACATCTCGGTGCAGGTTCATTATTTTCCTCTCATTCACACGTCATCCCATGTACATACTGGCATTATTACACTACAAGTAGTAAATTTGGAGTAATCCATTCAATTTTCACACGCGCCAGGTAATGCTGATGGTCATGAGTATGAGTTTTACTACTTGGGAGATCGGTAATTCCCCATTGGTTGAATGCGTCTATAAGCGATGGAAAGATTTGTGATGATCGACAAAGAGCATTGGACGACTATTTCCTCCTGTTCGGGACTCGTAAGCCGTGCGTACTTTTAATGTCCCTGTCAGGACTCGAACCGCCGGAATCCGGGCTGGAACTTCAAACCCTTACCCCTGAGCTTCACGGTCGATGATCATGACCTTGTGCGAATGGTTTAAGTAATTAAGGGTAGCAAATTCGGAACAATCCATTCGATTGTTCATAGGCACCAGACAGGAAACAGCTGTCCAGTTACGTTTGTCGGTTATCACAATATCTTTGCTTCACTTATAAAGACTTCATACTACATTATAAAATTCGGTTTATTTTTCGTATTAGTAACTTTAAACCCTTCCGGATAACGAGTACTGCTAACTTTGAATTATCCATCACGCTGTTCTAAAGTAAGCCAATATTCAGTCGGATAGTAGCCTAACCTGGACAGATTGGCAAACGCTTTAAATAAGGTCCATCACGTTTTAATATCGATTGGTTTGATGAACTATATTGATAAATCGATCAAGAGATTCTGGTCAAATTTGGACATATCAGACAATGAAGCTCACACACAGTTGTCTGAAGTTCTACTTTTAGCTTTCAGTTACACTTAAATCAGGCTTTCATAACCCGGTCCATGCAAACCGTCTAGTAAAAAGTCTAGTAAAAAGACATACATGTATATATGTATTAAATAATGAAAAAATTTTCTTGATAGTGTTACGTGATTAATTTAAAGCGAACATGATTATTATTTGCTTTTTTAAAAGATCGATGACCATTTACAGTAGCACTATTTTTTTAAGAATTAGCGAGAGGTCGAACTGTGGCGCATATTTCCATCTATCTATTTGTTAATGTTGTTTTGAAATATTTTCGGGAGATAATTCAACGCTTCACTTTTTGCATAATTTGAATTTGACAGGAATAAAGTATCTAGACGATATGGTTCGTTTGATGCGCGCTACGAGACGCGGGAACAAGGCGTTCGAATCCGCGCTGGATGCTGCTCTGGAAGTGATTGCTGGTGTGGACAAAGCGCACGAGTTAGAAGCTGCCGAGAAAGCCCGACAGGCCGAACAGGCTGCTGTTCCATTTGCGGATGAACTTGATGGCCGGTCAAGTCTAACCCTAGATACCGGACCCGGAAGTCCCCATTCCCGAGTCGGATCGTACCGGTCAAGAAGGCGGTCGCGCAGGTCACGAAGTTCAAGAAATAAGGCTGACAATATGCGTCATCCTCATCGAGACAAACATGTATGTTGATCTGGATTGTTGACCGTTTGCCTGGCTCTGTCTGTAACCACAATCCCCAGTTCACCCCGTCAACCGTACGCCCATACACCACTAATCACAAGTAACTGTTAGGTAAATTTGAGTTAAATCAGTTCAATAGTGGATATCGAATGATAGAGAGCACATTTCAAGCTAAACAACAAACTGGCGAACTAGCTCGTTTTGAGGGATTTGTATTTATACCAATACATCACAACATATATCAATAATTCATAATAAAATTTTCTTATAAAAATAAAATCACATCACAGACTACTTGAAACGATTTGCTCATGCAACCGGAAATCGGGTTCACCATGATCATATAGTTATTTGTTCACTCATTTCATAATTGAGATT